AATGACTGCAGCTTCTTTGAGATTTCGTAGTCCTGCCGTAACTGCTTTCATGACTTTTGTAGCGAACTTATGGTAATGCATATATGACAACTTATAATGTAATGTTTAAACAGATTAGGTGCTTACAAAAAGAGCAACAAATAAAGTGCTCTCCTCATAATTGTTTGTTCGACAAGTCCCTACAAGGTTGGATGTCAAGCAGTATTTCACAGGATTGAGGAAAGCTCCAGGATACCCATTGATATAACCTGCTGCATGCCATGAATTCAATAAAAAGTATTTAAAACGGGCGGAACAAAACTGGTTAGACGAGAAACAGTATGCATAAAATTAAAACTTCTGTAATAAACCTTTTTTCTGATTATGCGACATTCAGCTTATCGCCGAAAACAAAACGATGCATGCATCATGGCAAAGTAATCCGATATAGCAGGTTCGTAAAGTTTGCTTCATAAGTTCATAGAGTTTTCATTATCGTTCTCATTTCTTCGAGGAGCGGTTGATTTGCGCAAGATGCGTATATCATCGAGAAGAGCTGATCATGCTCTTTATGATAGACTATTCATTTTCTATGAAAAGCTAGTCTGCTTTGATTCCTGGCTTCCACAAAAAGATTGCTCATAAGGCAAAAAGAAGTACTTTCGGCACCTGATCTTTTTTCTTATAACAAAGTGCGTAGTGCTCAGATTTTTTGCCGGTTATGGAAGGTGGCATATTCTCATCATAATGAGACAAAAATGGATCGGATTAAAAAAAAACGAAAAAAAGCCTTTAAAAACGAAGAGTTTGCAGGGTGTCACCTGAACAAGACTTTTTGCAGGATGGGCAGGAGGTTCTGCACAATTTTGCTAGGCAAGAACAAGAGGGTCGCCCATATCGTACGCAACCCGACGCACGTCTATACGAATCCCTACTGCACGAAAGGTCCAATAAGCAGGTCCACTGAACTTCTCTGCGCGACAAATCTTGGGCCCCACTGCAACCGTCGTCATAGCTGTCCTGCAAGACCTGACAGGGAGGTACATTAGTACTCAATGTACTCCTGAGATCTCGCCCTAGCATATTGGCATATGTTGTAGTCTGTCATGAGTCATATGAATGGCGTCTGTTTTGATTTTAAGACGATCTCAAGCGCTGGTTAGACGACTTTTTTGGAAACAGACTTGCTCAGTTTTGGAAAAACAACTGAAAATTCGACGGCATGTTGTTAGAAGGTTGTGCGGAAAAATACATTGCTGACTGAATTTTGCTGAAATCTTGTCATTGTCAGTCCCTTAATTTATAAAAACTCTACGAACTTATGAAACGACCCAATACATTGATATAGAACCGCATATGTGAGAATTATCATCATTATCACACGAAGTCGAACGTACTAACCAATGTTAGAAAACTCAAGATTCAGAGTCAAGATAGAGATGTTTGACTTCCAGACTCTGACGAAAGCTGTCTATATGTCAGCCGAGCTTCAACTTACATTAGAGCTTTCGTATCAATGTGACTGCGCCTACCAAAAGAACAGTCAAGTAATAAGAGTGGAACATGAGCTAGAAACAATTTGAACATCAAACCATCTACCCTAATTTCACAAATACAGTCAAGTCATTTCATATGATCATGTGTGCACCCGCACGCACCGTCCATCTTTGGCTTCCTCATCCTAGATTTGCAATCGCAAAACGCAGGAGACTTACCGAGTGCCATTGTTTACACCACTTTGAGGTGAATAGTACCTAAAAAGGAAGGGAAACATTGAAAACACATCGAAAACATTTGCCTGAAGGGTTGCCTTCCCCACGATCCGGGATAGGAATACCAAAGTGAACGATGTGTGCAATGTTACACATGATCTCATGAAATAATCCGACTGTACAAGGCAGTTTTGCAAAACTCGACCACCTGAACACACCTTCGCAACCAAAGGCCTCTACCCAAGGCTGCTTACCTAAAAAAATATGTGGGAGGAGGACGAATTTCGTGAGGCACAACGTAAGTGGTCCGTCCGAGCTGCTTACTTGAAGAAGTAAAGAAATATGCGTCTTGTACTCTTAAAATTTAGGTACGGTACTGAGAATTCCAGTAAAGTACTTAGCCATATTCCTTTTCCATTATAGTTCCTTATAGTCTCTTAACAATTGTAGAAGCTCTCGCTGCAGAACTGTGGCGTTACATCTTCTAAACTTACGACAGTATTTTCCACTTCCATATTGGAATTCGCCACTGAAAAACCAGTTTACAAAACGCAATTTGTAAAAATTAGCAATTCGTCGAACACGCGCCCGTATATATGCACTTGATTGGCTATGCGTGAGGGGGCTGTGAAAAAATTGCGAGCACTGAGGGTTCGAGGACTTTTCATTGGGAGGAGTTAGAGTGAGGCTGAGCACTTCTTTCTAGCGAAGGGGCGTGGCGTTTACCCTCCACAAAAACTCTAGGTAGTTTTTGAACTTCCGCGCACCGGTTCTCCGAATGCCATGGAAAATTTTCTTACAGAGCTAATTTGCACAAACTTGATAAGTGTTCCGGGTTTGAGAGTGAAAATAAGTTACTCAGGCATTTTTATTCGCACAAAAGATAAGGCATTCCGAACAAACTGGAGGACTCTCCTTTTCCTTATCGTACGACAGTCGTATGTTGTGCAGCTGCGAGCAAGCACTGATTCGAACATGGTTCAGAGCTGATATTGGGTCCAAACATGCGAAAAGAGCCTTATTTGGATATAGGCCTCACCTTTGCTTGATGAATTGTACACATAAAAAGTGTACTTATGCCCTAGTAAGATCCCTGCAGCGAAGAGAGCTGATAAGAAAAACTGATGATCCGTAATGATGAAGAAGTCGCGGCGAAGTTTGCGCGCAGCCCCTTCATAACAGGGAACGTCGCTTCCCTCGCCGTAGGAAAAATAGTGCATACGGGCCTTAGGGCCGCATGCATTAACATCCCCGCCGGAGGGATCGCAGCTTCAAAAGAAAGCTTCATGTCCTGAAGCTCCAGATATCTGGATTTTACGCTTCCACCTATCAGTAAGTATTCGCACCATCCTTCGTTATGAACATATTAAACGGGAGCAAGAAGTTGTACAAGGCGCATTTTCCAACTTTTTATGATCCCCTGATGATCCCCCGCGGCCGAACTTCTTTTTTTCAGAGTAATTTTTCTTCCTTCGAAGTTAACGAAAACCTTCCAAAGTTGTACTGATTACCTAAGCCAACAGTGCTAAGCACTCAGACAAGTCACCGGAACTTCCGCAGGACAAGCCAAATTTGCAGAAGTTCCGCAGGACTTTGTTCACTATTGCAGAAATGAAAACGTTGAAAATCGGAACTTCAGCGGGATTTTCATGCCAAACTGGTTGAAGACCGGAATTTCCGGAACCTTCTTCAAAATCCTGCGGAAATTCCGAAAAATGCCAGAGGTTCCGTAGCACTTTGGCCTGCCAGAACTTCCGCAAGACTTTGAATGTGATGTTTCGTGATGTTGCCTCGCCAACAACTAGGGTGCATTATCGAACATGTCAGCCGTAGCGTAGAGGATAGTAGGTGGGTCTCACAGCCAATAGAGTGAGGTTCAAATCTCGCTTCGGTGTTCTATTTTGCTGTTGTAGTTGGCATTCTCCGGAACTTCCGCAGTATCTCATTTCGGAACTTCCGCAGCACGTTTACGGAACTTCCGCAGGTGACCCAGCGGAACTTCTGCAAGCGCTCTGCGGAAGTTCCGGTCATTTGTCTGAGCATGTTGCTGATAAGAACGAATGAGTTTTTGGATAACGATTTTTTCGATAAACCCCAACTTTCAACTTGTGCTTCATCGCAAATTTCATGAATTCGAAACATCACTTGTTCTTACCAAAAACATGATTAACACCGTTGGGTTAGATGAACAGCACAACTTCGGAATGTTTTTATTGGCTTCGAAAAAAGAAAAATGACTCCTTAGAAAAAACGTTGGCAGCTAAGGATCATCAGGGAAGCACACAAAAAGGTGAAAAATGCGGCTTGTACAGCTTTTTGCCCCTGTTCATTATGTTTATAGTGAAGGATGGTGAGAATATCTATGGATAGGCAAAATGCGTGGACCCCAGAAATCTGGAGCTTCAGCATTTAAGCTTCCTTTGAGTTGCGATCCCCTCCCCGGTGTTGATATAAATGCATGCGGCCCTCAGACTCTAGATGATCCTCAAACAAAACTTGTGGAATAGGAGAGAGGTAGGGGGAGGAGGAATAAGCTAAAGCTAATACAGCATCCCAGGTCACTGTAGTAACCATGCCTGACAACCTTGGTCGTAACTGAGAAATTTAATCGTTTTGGTTTTTTTTATAATTTGTAAAACTGTTACAATGACCCACTTCCTCTGTTATTTCAAGTCTGTCTGCGCCAGACTTGAAATAACAGCGTTATGATTAATGACAATTTGGCTTGTCTAAAGTCTACATATATGCGGAAGTCTGCCCCACCGGTAATGTTTACCCTTTCAACAAATCATCTTTTGGTGTAATAAGCATACGTCGGTGATCATACGATTGTTATTTTTTTAGGGAAAATCAAGTGGTATTTAAGTGATAGAAAGATAGCCAGACAGTATCCACCGGCAGTTTCTTTTCGACTTTCGCTCAAATTCTCCGCGTAATTCATTTTGCTGCCAGATACTTTTCAAACACTTGTTATATAAACTGTTGAAATATAAATTCGCCCGGTAGTGTATTTTTATTTTCCTTGTTTCAATAAATTGCTAGGTTGTTAGTTCAGCCAAAAAATATACTTTGTAGATAGTGGGAAGATAGACATTTCTCGACTGTGTAAACTTGTCTTTATACTCGATAAATCAAAAATATTTGATTTTGAAGTTTTTGAGAATCATAGCTTTTCAGCTGGATATGAAACATTGGAAACAACAATGTCATGTGGAATCACATGTGTCGTAGGCCACCGAGAGTGATCATGTTCAAAAACCATGAAATTACCATAATTTTTGAGTTGTTTTCAATTTTAGCGCGGGAATTATGCCAATCTATGACAAAGTTCAATTGCACGCGTCTATGTTGCACTGCGCATCAACTGCTTCTCAATCAGAACTCTATGAAAAAATGTTTTCTATTACTCTTCGACTTAAAAATTTCTGCTTTTCACAGGTATGTGCTTCTTAATAACTAAAAATTCCATCCATATTCTATGAACTCCTTGACAACGTTCTTGTATGCATAGCAAGGCTATGGAACACCACATTCAAGTCACTTTTTCTAGGTAATGTACCGCCTATTAGTAGCGACCGTACTTATCAGCGTCGTAGAGCCACTTAATATCGTCGTGTATTTATCCCTAGCCGGTAAAAGCCATCTCGACTTTGTATCGACACTCATAAATACCCTCGTAGATAGGGGTCATAAAGTGGTGAGCAATTTTTATTTTGCCTTTTTGACTGTGACGTTGTCAGAAGAATCTTTTCAGGACCTTGTTTTGGCAAGGCAAAATACCCTAATAACCTCAAATGGAACCCACAAGGCAAGCGAGGTGTTCGACTTCACTTTCCCTGAGGGAAAAAGTCCATGGTTGAATGTGGATCATTTAAAGACCCCATTCAGTGCGAATACCAACAACCCGCACATGTTTCTTGAATATGTTCGTGTAGGAACTCAGCTGTGTAGACGTAAGTTTTACCTAAATTTTATTTTTCTCGATTTTCTTCTGAATGCAAACATTTTAGATGGCCTAGCGTCCGGAGAGCCAGCACGTTTCCTAGGCAGAAAGAAGTACGACATCGGAATTACGTCCGATTATGACTTCTGTGGCTACATCCTCTTCCATCAAGCTGGCATAAAATCCGTAGCTTCCTTCACTGCTACGAATCTGCTCTCTCATCAAGCATTCTCAATAGGATTACCTAGTCCTGCTAGTTCAGTTACAAGTAAGCAAAATTGAATTTTATATTCTAGAAAAGAAATAATTATGGATCATTTAGATAATCTCGACTTATCTTCGGGAAGTGCACGCCCGGATATTTTCGAGAGAACCGTCAGACTCATCAAGTCTATGAGATTCACATTTATGGAAAGGCCACAATTCGAAGAGCTAGGGGTAAGCTTTTTCTCAACAAAATGGCCTAAATGCTTTCAAAAAGAACATAGTCTTCGAAAAGATAATATATGTATAACCGCTTTTTTTACAGGACAGCCTGATCCGTGAATTCTTCCCGAAAAGCTTCCCTCGAATTCGCCAGCTTCTTCAGAACACTGACCTGACCTTCGTCAATAGCAACGAAATCATCGAAAAACCCCGTCCATTGTCGGAGAAAGTGAAATACATCGGTGGAATTGCGCTGCCCAAACCTAAGCCCCTTCCAGCGGTGAGAAAAATTACACGATCATTTTTCTAGTTGAGGTTAATTTGATATTTTCAGAGCCTTTCTGAAATGCTATCAAATTCCACAAAAAATGTCATCTTCTCCTTTGGAACACAGGTGTGTTGCTACACCATGGCCGAATCGAACATGGAAAAAGATTCAAAAGTTTAGGTCCCAACACAAAACATTCCACTCCACGTTCGCCAGGCATTGGTGGGAGCATTCGCCCAGTATCCAACTGTCCAATTTCTGTGGAAATATGACTTACAAGGAGATGAAGGCGATATGTTTGCCAGAGCCCCTAACGTAAAAATTCTGAAATGGCTACCTCAAGCTGATTTGCTGAGTAAGTGCAACTGTTACTTGTAGTAAGGGTGAACAGATATAAGGATTATTGTTTGCAGATGATAAAAGAGTGACTGGGTTCATCTCCCATATGGGTTTGAACTCTTTCCTTGAGGCTTCGGTAGCCGGTGTACCAATGCTTGCCATTCCATTGTTTGCCGATCAAGTCCATAATGCTCAAATTGGTAAGTCTTATTTCTACTACATTCAGATCTACTGGCCAGATCGAAGCTCCTGAAATCGTAAATGCAATTTTCTCTGCATTTTCGCAATTTTCAAAACGGCAGCGAACCAAATATTAACTTCTAGGTGCCCATCGTAAGACCACCATTATTGTAAGACCACAACAGCTGTCTGTCAAAAGTATCGCAATGGCCCTCAATGAGCTCCTGAACAACCCAAGGTTTGTCCTTCCTACTAAAATTACACTAAGTCTTCGATTCTGCTATTTTTCAGCTACATGGAAAATGCCAAGCATATTTCTCGATTGATGAAAATGAAGCCAGAAAGCGGTCGCAACAAATTTGTGGAATGGCTCGAATTCGCAGCTGCAAACAAAAATTTGCACAGGGTTTGTAACTTTTCCTAGGGGCTATGTTCTTTGAAATTCTAATAGAAAGGCTTTAAAATAAGCATTTCCAGATCTTCAACCTCCCCGGTAACGACATCGGAGCCGTGGAATACTACTGCCTCGACTGCCTCGTTCTCCTCTCCATCGCCGTCGCTACCGTATCAGCTCTCGTATGGATGATTTTGTCCGCAACAATCCAGATGTTGATGGTTGAAGGGATCTTCTGCGTGAAAGTCAAGACACTGTGATTTTCGTATGAATAATAAGGTCACGGGTGAATCTCAAGCTTGTATGTACAAAGTCTGTCACTGAGAATAAAAATGAGACCTCTGTTTGAAAATTGTATACATATTATCCTAAAAAAGTAGTCAAATGCAATGGAAAATGTTGTATTAAAAATTGTCAGTGACCCTAGGGGTAATCAAACTACTCTCAGATAACACAGCTCTTATAGTACTCAAGAATTCTGAAGCTAACGCAGACATCACAAAATTTTCTAAGACTTCTGACAATTTTGAAAAGACAGTTTTCAATTCTTTCAGAAACTGACTTTACACACCCTGCATGTCTTTATGTGAAAGCGATGTGAAATAAACCACTAATCTAACAACAGACCCTGATCTAGGACAATGTTCCCACCTTCAAATGGACGTTTTTCATGTATGCGCGAATATGAATTAGAAAGATTCGCTTGAAGCTGAATTGCGCCCGTTCCTAAGTTTCTGATGTCAATTCTACATATTTGCGGTAGTGGTTTTTTCACATGTGTGCCACAAAAATGTGCACATTGTTTGATTGTCAAAAACTCTCTTGCTTTGATGTCTTTCGCCGATCTTTAGGTACTAATATGTAGCGCTGAGTTCAACTTAGATTTGCAGTATGGTACGTTACTGAGGGATTACGGTAAGAACTTGCAGCATACATAGAATTATTGTGAATAGGGCCGTCATTTTTCTCAAAATTTGCAGAATCGTGTACTAGGGTTTGGCGGCGGCATGAGCAGCATCAGCCGCTGATTTCATTACACATTTTTTTTCAAGAGTTTTCAGCTTTTTTGACGATGTAATCATATTTCTGACAAATGTCGAAAAAAAAAACAATTGTTACGGCTGCCATAATTTAACGAAGAAGCATCGCGGCAAATTGGAAATTACATATTTGGAATCAGCGGCTTCAATAAATATAGAAGTTTTGGGCTTGCTTGATCTTCTTAATCAAGCAAAATACGGTTTTCAATAGCCCAAAATCCTTGTCGAAGTTCCTACCTTGATCCTACAGTAATGCAGAGAGATTGGCGTTTCCAAAATGATACTTAGAGTTTGGCGAGACCAAAAGCCAAAGAGTTATTAACATCAAACAGTCCACATTATTTTGGGACATTTTGTATAACTACAAGGTCAAAACAATTTTTTTCATAGACATATTCCGTCATTGTTAATCATAATGTTATTTTGGAGCAGAAATGGTCGTAACTACAGTATGCCAGACTGCGTAAACACATTTTTGTGGAAATTGAAAACAGAATCGTCTTATGACTCTTATACAGTTGTTATCTTGAATCAGCAAAAAATGTGAAGGATTGTTCTGAACTTTCCTCATCAAAACAATCAGGGTCACGAGAGGGGGAGAGTTATGTCACAATTACCAACTTAATTCTTATCCTAAGCAAACAATATTAGGGACCATAAAGCTTTGACAGCATTTGTTAAATCCCAAATTATCGACTGGTGACTTTAATAGCAGTCGTGCAATGTGAATCAAGCACTTATTACGAACTTATCAGTGAAGTTTAGTTGCATCAAATTTTTCAGCTAAATTTGAAGAGAGGGATTTGCAAAGATACAGGTCGATTGCCCAGAATAATGTTTTTTTGGGTTAGGGGAAATCAGAAAAACGTCGAGGTGATCTATGGCCCTCAACGAATGTTGGCGCGCTACCATGTTTATATTGACTCAAGGCTGATAATAAAAATAATTTTTTGTAGTTGCTAAGAGTCAAAAAATTATACTTCAAATTGTATTCCTAGCATGATTAGCACATACAAATATTCGGATAAACATAATATTGTCACACTGAAGCTGCAAACCCACCTCCTCAAAGGGTCAATTCCCTTCTTACAATATTTTGCCATTGCTCAAAAACGCGAATGATTATAACGTAGTCTTGCATAAGCAAAGTACATAACTATACTTCTGCGTCCTTGGTGTTCTCCAGCTTTCAAAACAAAGCCCATTTTTTTATACATTGCGTTCTGTTCAAAGATGCTAAGCTAAAAAAGAATTAATCTGAAAAAAGTTATTTCCATTGAACACTGGGCGCGTAATCATTCTTCCAGCCAGCCTTAAGGTTCATTGCATTTCTAGCATGTCGTTCATAAGTTGTGCAATAACCTATCCTACTTCTTCCTCAAAAAATTTGTTATATTTTTCTTGGAAAAAGGACCATGTAGTGTTATAATCTTGGCTTTTTTCCATTAACAACAGATTGCAATAATTAATTTCACTCGATTTGGAATCATTATGCAACAATTAAGTACATTGCCGTTGAAGTATACTAACGTGGGCTATTTCAAACCTTCTGCTGCGCATACTGGAAGATCACAATATTCAAAGTCTCTAAGCTATGATTGAGGGTGTCCTACTATTACTGGTGAGTCTGCATTATGCTGAATGTCAAGCACATCGAAAACAGTAAGGAAACGAAGTTTGCTAGCTTGGAGTCATATTTTCTTTTAAAGGGTAATAATATGGGAATTGCTTTAAATCATGAAGGCTGTGAAATATCGCGGGAGCAAGGGAACAAACTCCATTGAGTTCATATTTTCCTTAAAGGCAGTGTCCCGGCAGATTCGCGCCCTGGGGAATATTGCTGTGTGGGGTTCCTGGTCATCCCACTGACCTCCAGAGCGCAGTCCGGCTGGTTGATGTTCCCCGTGGGCCGAAGAAATAGCCCTTGAACTGGCGCGCGCAACCCCAGTCGGCACGCGCTCGGACGACTTCGCTTACCGTTCGGCGCGGGACCCCACAACCGCTCTCTCGCATTTTGCATGCTATCCAAAACAAAAATTACAGGCAACAGGGTCTTCGTGCCAGGTCTCCCAGCTTCCCATTGAAATTCTCGTATAAGCTGAATTTTGAAAATCGGGTACTCCCGGACATCACGAAAGTCCATAATGGAGGAAAATGGGCTTTCAACCCATTTTATTCGTTCGCGGTGGAAACTGGTCGGAATCTGCTTTCGCTAGCGTTATCGAATTTTTATCTCATCGCAACAACGAGGCAAAGCGGTGTGATGGTAATGATTCAACCAACCCTACCTAAGCTCTCGCTTGCGAAAGAATCATGCGAAAAGTCCATTTAGAATGGGGCGAAATGGGATGTACCTCCATCTTAAATGGACTTGAAAGCCCATTTTACTCCCAGCAGCAAGGTGAGCTGGGACTAAGCCCATTTTTGACCTTTTTGCACAGTTTTGATTGCAATTTTTTGAGAATGTGTTCCTTAGCTTATTTCAAGGTAACGAGTGGAAAAAGCTACGTCTTTTGTGAAATCTAAAATGAGTGTTTTCTAAGCTCATACAAACGCTATAATAATCATGAAAGAAGGCTAAATTCACCAAAATATTTGCTAACGAAGTCAAATGCTTCCAAATATCAGGTCGATGCGAAACATTGCTAACTCTTCAAGTCATCAGCTAAAAACTAAATTATTTGAAAATAAAAAAGGTTTGCGTTTCAATATGTTTGTACAGAAGCTATCTCTTGACTATTCTCGTAGAACCGGACCTCAAAGATGGCATTTAAAATGCGATTTTGAGTTTGATCGCAAGAATTCCGAAGTGCCGCAGCTAGCAAGAGAAATTCTGCGAAAAAATTTTTGATACAATAGCCCGTACATTCAACTACTTAGAGATTCAAACCTTAGTGTTGAAAGACAAAGAAGAGCAAAAGTAGAACATTTGCGAAGTCATCTTCTGCAGATTCGTAGTTTTCCGACTCAAAAAACCCTTTGATACAAGGTTTCTTGAGATAAACTTTTTTGATTCACAGATTGCATGCAAGTTTAGCCAAAGTTTGGTTTCTGTAGAAAGCTCCACATACGAATCTGATTTGGTGCAAATGCATAAAAGTCTCGAAAGGCGAAGGCCCTGATATCGCGTGAATTTTAGTTTTGGAAGTAATTTAAACGCATAGTTATCGATAGTAAATAGCATTTTGTGAGATGTAACGAAGTGGGAAATAATATTAGGCTGTCTGGAAAATAATGTCGCATGGCATCCTACCGCGAGAGAATGACCACAAAAAACAGCGAATAGGGTATCATTTGATAGAGCAAAGCGAACTCTACAAGGCGGTTTACAAACCTTCGCGGAGATTTTGCTCCACCTGAAGTTCGAATCCAAAATATAAAAAATTTCAGATACCCGAAAAATCGTATCTCCGTTTATAGACGTCTTAGGGATCTCCAATCTGCACAGGCATGCACTCTCCACATTAGACCTGTATATTTTTATTTTGCCATGGTTACAGTACGAGAAATAAAAATAGGTCAAAAGTACAAATATGTCGCGTTTTCGAGTTTTTTTGCAAACAATTCAATTTTTCTCGAAAACTAGCGCTTGTCTGAAGCTGATTCGTGATTATACTCCTAAAGGTTCATACTACAGAATCACCATGTGAGAGAAGCTCAGGAGACTGCTTTGACAAAAATATGCCAAATTTCGTTTTCTCAATTTCAGCCAAGGAAAAACCGCTAAAATGTGCATACGAGTGTTTCGTATAGTGAGTTCATGCGTGAGCAATTTAGGGGTTCCCAGAAATTCTGAGAAAGGAGATACGAGTTTTTTCGATTCTTTAGACCATTAGTGCCTTACGAATTTGGCTCCAAATTTTACGCAAATCAAACCTGGCGCAAAGGTTCGACATTCGTTTTGTAAAGCTTGTTCTGATCTATTGGTTGATAACCCACTAATTTACTTTCGTGCGCACCCTGCTGCGTTATTGCACGATAAAGCACGATGCAGCATTATTTTCCGGACAACTTAATATAATATCCACGTGACTGACATTGTAATATTAGGCCACAGCCTAGTCACATATCAACCACTTGGTAAATGAGTTTGCAAGAATGAGACAGGTTGAGGCAAGTTGAAGAAAGGTTTGCTGAAGAATTTTTGTATGGAATGAGTGGATTCGCGAATGCGATATCTCGCACCGCATGGACTAACAAGGGAAGTGTTTTCGGTCGAAGTGGCCTTGCAAATGAAATTGATACGAATATAAAGAGCAACAAACGCTGATTCCAAATCTGTCTTCGCTATCTGCCGAGCGCCTCTAGACGTCGAGTTATGAATATTTTCTTGGTGCGAAGAATGAACGCATAATCTAAGTAAAATAAAATTTTACGGTCCTCTCAGCGCTCAAAGAGAGCAGTGTTGAGTATGAATGCTTTGAATGAAAGATATTGTCTAAATAAAGTGCTGATAATCAACATTGGACCATTTGAGCAATTCTGACGAATATTGTCCTAAGTTAGCATTCAATTTCTCAACCCAAAAAACGCTCATAACTCGACGTCTAGGGGCGCTCGGCAGATAACGAAGACAGATTTGGAGTAAGTCCATTTTATTCGCACGAAAAGCCCATTTCGCGGGAACTTTCGTGGATATCATTCCCAAAAAGGTCTTTGCACCCGTTTTAAAACTCATATTCGGGGTCTACGGATCGAAAAGGCCCAAAACATGCAAAAAGATGGAAATGCAAAATCTGCCGGGACAGCCTTTAAGCCCGCAGAACTGATGTTCAGACTTAGAATCTTTCATTGACATGAAACTGGACCTGATCTGACCATTGGTTTTTACAATATCTTTTGTGTCTGGTTTAAGAGAGCATGTTTCATAGATTATTTATCTCAACTCTTGTAGAAAGCCAGAGAGTCTAATACAAATGATTAGATAATTATAGTTGGGTCAATGCCAACTTTCCATTTCAGGTCGGAATTCCTGGCCTTTTAGTGAATTTATTCAACGTTTACTTATTCTTAACAACAAAATCGCTCCGAACTCCCTACGGTCACCTGACGATCTCTCGCTGTATAGCAAATGCTCATGTTCTTCTGACATTTGTTTGTTACGTGGCGCCAGCAAATCTAGCGTGAGAGAGAAATGACATTTATGTAATATTATAGATAGATATAACAAGATGAAGTATTTCAGCGGCCAGATCATTGTATCTGAAGTATTCGCATCTCTTATCGGTTTAATTTCGATTGTTTCAACTAGTTCCATAGTTGCTAGTCAATTATTTCTATTGATACAGCGATTCACTGCCGTCTTTTTCCCGATGTTTTACCAAACCTCGCTGCGCCATTTTTCAGTAACTATGGTAAGTCTGAGAGTATCTTCTTTTTTTGCTCCACATTATTCAGTAGTCAGTTTTTGCAGTGGCAAATTTTCAAGCCTCATATCTGAGGAGGGGGGGGGGGGAGGGGGGGGGAGGTGAAGACGTGACAGGATCTAAATAATGGGCCAGACGAGTCAGCCACGCTCACTCAATCTAAAGAAAAATTAGGACACGAAATTTATTACAAAGACGCAGCCGCTCGCTGGTATGGAGATATCAAAAGGTCAATTCAAGAGTTCTACGTTTTAGATACAGCTATTCTTATCATGGGCTTGGGGTGTCATTGGATTAGCTTTTTGGATAATTGGTAATGCTTCCCTTGTTTTTACAGCACTGACATTCATAATAAGTTCAGCTCCAATGTACAATAGATGTATCTTCACATTCAATGCAGAAGTCGCTTCTTATAGCGATGATTGTCCTCCCGAGTATTCTTTATATTCAATCTCAGTACCTATATATTTCTGTTCAGGATTAATTTTTGTTGTTAACATCGTCATAGCATGGAAGCTGCGATCACTTAGAGCAAGTTTTCCTATTCAAAGAAAGTTGAGTTTATGCGACTACAAATTAATACTCCCATTTCAGAAAAAGACTACATATGCGATGTCTGATAGCAAACGCAAAAGTGATAGGCGTATAATACGGATAGTCATCCAGGTAAATTTTTTAAGACAAATAAAACAAATGAAATGCTGCGCTTTTCAGGGAATCATCCAAGACTCCACTTTTCTCCTTGAGACGCTTGTATTCACTTTCGCTCCTGTGATAGTTGAAAGTACAACGGGAATATTTGTTTGCTACTCTTTGATATGGGAGCTTGCTCATGCCATTGATGGGTGGGGCTAGTTCTTTAAACCAAGTCAGGTTTCTGATGCATAAAAAGGCTACATAATTGTGGAAGTGACTTTAGGACTATTATAATGTTGTTCAATGCCAAACTCCCGCACTTCGAAATCTCTTGCTATAGCGCTCCTACGACATCCAACACAAACACGACCGTTGCTCTATTTTAATCTCCTGATGAGCTGACAAGAGACTTCCTTCCAAGATGCTTTTGTACCATAAAAGATTAGTTTTCTACTGCTCGCATAATAGAACCCACCTATGTATGGAAGATGGGCTATCTTCATCTAGTAAACTAGGCCATCTCTTTCTCTTAAATCCTTCACAAACGATCAAAGTAGGTTCATGGAAAAGAAGACTAAAAAAATAACTAAAGTACACGCACCTAAATAGCAGACTTAAAGGCAGCGTCCAGGCAAATCTGGGCCTATGGTGTCACTTAGATGGTAATCTCTTAGAGCCCTAACTAAAACACCGCCCAAGCGGCTCAAATAGTGAGCTCGGAGTTGAGATATTCGTCTCTAAACTGGACCCCGGTATCGTATTCGCATGGATTCATGGTGCGACACGCATGCTCGCGCGAAACTTATGTGTTGCCATGAATCCATACAAATACGATCCCGGGGTCCAGTTTGAAGGCGAATATCTCAACTGTGAGTTCACACCATTTGAGCTGCCGCTTGAGCAGTGTTCTCAACTACGACCCCAAAATTATTTTCCACATCCGAATCCCGTATGTCCAGATTTGCCTGGACGCGGCCTCTAAAGACACTGGCGTAGTTTACCTGCTGTTCCAAAAACGTATAAAAACATATCTGAGGTTCCAGAGGCGCGTAGAAAGTGTTTGATCCTTGCTTCAATGTCTTTCGTCAGTCTAGGTCTCATTCTATAGAGCTGGGTTCCGCTTGAAGTGGCAGTATGGAATCTCCAATGGCTTTCCAGTACTGTACGACTAGGGGGGATTTCCAAACAACTTTGACTGTGATTTTTGTTTGAATGATAAGATCATGGATGAATCTCAAGCTTGTATGTGCAAAGCCTATCAATGTTTTGGGTTGTTAATAAAAATGAGCTTCCGTTTAGGAATTGAATACATGTCCTCATGAAAATGAGTTTACAAAAATAGAAATGGTTACAAAAAATTGTGAGTGCTTTAGATGCTTGAAAATTGTCTGGGTAACACAGTTTCTAAAGATTTTACTCAAGATCTTTGAAGTCAAATGCAGTGGCTTGGAAAAATCGCAATTGCACGCTTTTTATTCCCATTTGTCCTTCTGAATGCGTTTAGACCAGAGCTGTGGGAAAGTCAAAAAAGTATTCATTTTTATTAGGTCGTTCCATAAGTTCGTAGCGTTTTTATAAACCAACAAAATCATTGATTTACGGTAAAAATCAACTGAAATTTTGATTCTCTTTCTACCGCACGACCTTTCGGCACATTCTCGTTAGCTTCTCAACCTCAATTTTTCAAACGGCAGCGCGCTGGTTCCCAAGAAAGTCATATAATCAGCGCTCGAACTGCTTACTGAAATCGAGACATGCACCATTCATGAGGTTTGCCAGAAAGCGTAGCAAATGAAACTCTGATAGAGCGAGGTTTGGAGAGTATTTTGGGTACTGAAGTGCCTTCCAGTCAAATCGTGGAGGACAGTTTTGACGACATTTGCCGTATGACGCCATGTTTCGTCGTGCAAAAAAACTCACTGGATCTGTCTGTTTGGCTTTTTCTGCGGTAGGACCTGGTTTAGACGGTGCAGTTGCACTGAAAATGAAAATGCTCCTTTTTTCCTTTCAAGATTCCCATCTTTGGAAGCTGCGAGATCCGAGTGAATCAGCTTTCCACCGCAATCAGCAGATGTATTTCAAAGAGCACAATTAGCCCTTCAAAATGATAAACGCATCCTGCCGCAAATCAACCGCTCCTCAAAGATATGAGTACGAAAATAAAAACGCTACGAACTTATGGAACGACCTAATACGTCGTTTTCCGGCCTTGGAGATTGCTAAGGAAGCTGGAGAGGAAATTCCCGCCAAAACAGTGACCGGCTGCAGGCAACTGTAACACCACTCATTTTGGCGGCGATTGGCTGATTGGCCCAGGTAGCCAATCGCGACTCGGCTGCGGGAATCTCCACTCCAGCCTCCTCAGCAATCTCCAAGGCCGCAGAACGCCATGAAAAGCACTCTTTTGACTTTCCAAGCACAGATTTGGTCTAAAAGCAGCCAGAAGGCTGAGAGGAAGAGAAAGCGCGCAGTTGCAATTCTTCCGAGCCACAGGCTTGAAATGCTTACAATGTAATAAAATGTTCCAACAATTCAACCAAGAAAAAACTTTGCAGTTCCTTCAGAAACTGGTTTTATACACCATGCGTGTCCTTATGTGAAACCGACCAAGTAATCACTAATCTGACAGCAGTTCCTGATTTGGAATAATAGGACCCCACCTTTGATGGAAGTGATTTACGCATGCGCGGAGTTTTGAATTTAATAAATCTGCTTGGAACCAACGTACGCCCATTGAAAATCGGGAAGGTTTGGTTCGAAGGGTTTGAAGGATGTTGATTCTAAGTATTCATTTATTATAATGGTAGACAAACACTTTAAGCATTGTTCTATGCAGAATTCCTTTCATTTTTCAGCAATGATGTGTTTGTTTGGATCCCTTCCATGTTCTTCCGAATAATCGCTACAATCTCCACCATGCATTTTATGTGCCCTAAATTTAGCTGTTTTTCAAAATTCACGTTTTGGACTTTTGAAGAAACTTTAATAACAGCTGGATAGAGTAAATAAAATGCTACAAAATCCAATTTTTCAGTACTTTGTAAAACAAGTTTCCATAAAATATACAAACGCTTCAAACACTATGAAATTTTCGCAAATTGGAACTTTCAGAAATCGATTATGATTGAGCACTGCTTATATAAACAAACGAGTTTCTACCTTCTATTTAAATATTGATTTTGAAATTTTCGGGTGCAGCCTGGAACGGATCAAAAAACTAGAATTATTGCAATTTTTTCCTTGAAGCTTTTACGAATTAGAAAGAAAAAAACATCTTTCAAAAAGAGGAGAGGAAGCTGCATCGAATGACACCCTAGCTGTTTGCCGTCTGATGTTCTACAAGGTTTGAGATGAACAAATATCTTGTAGCAGCAAAGTGATAATTTTAGAAAATTTGAAAAGCAGATATCGATGCCATAAAATTGTATTACATTGCATTTTGTTTACTCTAGCTAAGTTATTATTGCATTTCCAAAAATCCGGAACGAAAACTTAGAAAATATTAGCAAAACTTAGGGTAGTTAAAAACCATGAGTTGAAATTCTGGCAATTTTTCAAACGAACATTAAAGAATTTTGCATAGAAAACGTTTTAGAATGTTTGTCTATCTTTGATCTGAGGATATGTGGGTCTAAAGAACGGCACAAACTTCGAACCTACATAAAATTTGCAGGTGGTTCTTCTTCATATACAAGTACAAGATTACAACACAGAAGAATGATGGCCTTACTAACTATCCGGGTTTTTTCAAATGCATGTTCCGTCATTAAAATGTTGTTTTGATTTAATGTTATCTTGAAACAGAGTATAGTAAGATGACTACAGTATGCCGAACCGCGTAAACAGGTTACTTGTGGAAGTTTACAACAGAACTGTCATGTGATTCTTGAAGCTGTCACCTTGAATCAGCCAAAATACTTGAAGGATTATTGAGAACTTTCTTTATCAAAAACATCCAAGGGTACGACAGGATGGGATAATGTAACAATTACCACGTTGATTCTAACTATAAGCAAATAGAATTCTGGACGATGTCGAATAACTGATATTTGTTGAATCTGACAATGTTGCTTTATTATCAACCACCCAATGCGAACTTACCAGAAGTTTAGGCACCAACCTTTTTTACGGACTGAAGAGAAGAAATCGCTATGATACAAGTCAAATCCCCAAAAAAATTTCTTGGGTTAGTAGGGAAAACCAAGAAGACGTCAAGGTAATCTAAGTCCCTTGACGAATGTTGACGCGCTACCGTGTTTACATTGACTCAAGGTTGTTATCATAAATGAATATTTTTTGTAGTTGTTAGGAGTTGAATAATTCACAATGTATTCATTATGTGATTAACATATACAAATTTTTCGGATAAACACAAAATCGTCAAACTCGTTGCTTGTGAATTCACCTCCTCGTGCATCATGCATACTCCCGTGCTGTATTCACAATAGGAGCAATTACTGTTTGACTGTGATTTATTACCAATAGCATATGAAGTACAACTATTATTATCTCTGCATAACGATGCAGGTTAAATTAAAACAAAAAATCAGTCATTTCTATTGATTTCTGTGCAAGAAATTATTTCTCTAGTCCTTGATGTTTATCGCATCTCTAGCATCCTTTCATGAGTTTTATCATAACTCTTTCCAAAAGATTTGCTTGGCAATAATTAAATTGCAAAAGCGATTGCGCACTTTGTAACATCACCTTGACACTTTTCTACTGAAAATAGCTACAAAAATTGCTCTCACCAAATTTGAAAGAACTATATGACAGCTACTTGACTACGTGTTGTTTTAGGCCATTCTGCCAACGCGAATAGTGGAAGATTACGAGATCTTTAGAAGAGTCTCGAGCTATGATTGAGGGAGTCCTACTATTATCAGTGAGTGTGCATTATACTTTGCGTTAAGCCCATAAACCAGTAAGCTCACTAATAGTAAGAAATCGCTGGTTTGGGGTTATATTTCTTAATATGGGAAATCACAAGCGTTCTTTTAAACTGTGAAGATCGTAAGCTATCGCGAGAGGAAGGAGGAGAAACTCCATCGAGCTCATGTTTTCCTGGAAATGTCTATTCGAGAGAAGTGGCTCAAACGATTAGTCCTTTATTAACATCAAGTTGGACCAAAACTGAAAATCAACTCTTACTGCATTTTTACTATATTGAAAAATGTGAGTTTTTAGTTTATAAATTAACAAGGACATCAAGATATACACGACAATTTTTGTTCTTAATTTGAACACTATCCGGTTTCGGGGCTAAAAACTATACCGGTAGTGCAGCTTCCTTGGTGCCCCTCATCAATAGTTCCCAAGGAAGCCTCAAAACTTTCAACTAAAGAGATAACCTACAGAATTTGAATCAAACAAAAACAAGAGAGCATGAAGGTAAATGGAGATGAAAGGGCTACATAGGACACATCTTTCAGGGAAGGCATGGAAGGCACGTTGAGTGTCTACGCTTTTACGTCTTATCCCAAATTTTTAAAGGAAATCTTAGGAATTTAGTTGTTAGGATAAGTGTGTGCACTTTCTTTGCCTAAGCGTAGGCGTTAGGGACAAAGTTCACGGACAAAGTTCACGCGATTTCGTCGCGATTCAATCGCTACAAGACGACTGTTACGAGTTCATTGCATGCCGATCAGCTTGCATTTCGGTTGTGATACTTTTCCAGCTAGAAAATTTTGAACGTAAAATGAAAATGAATGAAAATCGCGGCGAATAAATCGCGACGATCAAATCGCGTGAGCTCTGGCCTTACATAAGGATAATAATCGTATTCGTTATACAGGGTGTCCAAAAAATTTGCGTACTGTTTTATTGTCAATAACTCTCTTGTAATGGCGTCTTTCAAGAGGCTTTAGGTAACATTTTGTAAAGCGAGGTTAAACTTAGATTTACTATGGAGCGAATCATTTATCGCTCTTCATTACTGTAGGATTACGTCAAGAACTTCCAGCATATGGTGTCACTATGAAAAAAGCGGGATTGCAAAGCTTTCTAAACGGTGTAATCGCACTTTCTGGAAGCCTAAAAAAAGGTCGCTGCTGCTTACCTCGCATAACTTTCTAATGAAGCATTATGATAAATTGCGAACTTTACATTTAGAATCAGCAACTCTAATTAGCCCAATGTGAGAGTTTTTAGATTGTTTTGTTTCCTTTCTGAGGCATAATATGGCCTATCGTAGCTGAAAATCCTCTTCAAAATTCCTACCGTAATTTTACAGTGATAAAAGCCTATATTTCTGACTCGCTTTATACTATATATCTAAGTTGAACCCAGCCCTACAAAACGGTACCTGAAGCCTTTCGAAAGACTTCATTACAAAAGAGTTATTAACCAAACAGTAGGCACATCTTTTTGGGACACTCTATATATGCATAAAGATTAAGTTGGGGTATATTTTCCATTGGTAAGTTGGTGTACACTTCCATTGGCAAGTTCATCCAATTAAAGTATGCCATTACACATCTACTCTTATACAGTACGATTACACTTGTTTTCCATCATGATATGTATAAATGACTAGGTGATTGTGTTTCGGGCAGTGTGAACTCCCACTTCCACTCTCAGGTCGGCATTCCTGGTCTTATAGCGAACTTATTCGATATATACTTATTTTCAACAACGAAATCGCTTCGAACTCCCTACGGCCACCTGACAATCTCTCGCTGCATAGCCAATGCTCATGTAATTCTGACACTCGTTTGTTATGTGGCACCAGCAAATCTAGCGTGAGAGAGTTGGCATTATCTATAATAAGTAAAACAAGGATAAAGTAATTCAGTGTGCAAATCATCGTTTCGGAAGAGTTCGCTTCTCTTATCGGTACACTTCCAATTGTTTCAACTAATGCTATTGTTGCTAGTCAATTATTCCTAGTAATGCATCGGTTCACTGCTATCTTTTTCCCGATGTTCTACCAAACTTCGCTGTGTCAGTTTTCAGCGACTGCGGTTAGTTAGGGAGTTTTTCTTCCTTTTTTGCTCCACATTCTTCATTCTTCAATAACTTCATGTTTTAGATACAGCTGTTCTTATCATGGTCTTGGGGCATCGTTGGATTAGCCTTTTGGATAATTGGTAAAACTTCTTTTTTTCTTAGCGCTTGAAATAATAATAAGTTCAGCTCCGATGTGCAACGGATGCGTCTTCGCATTCGATGCTGAAATCGCTTCTTATGGCGATGACTGTCCCCCCGAATTTGCTTTATATTCAATCTCAGTACCTATATATTTTTGCTCAGTATCCGTTTTTGTTGTTAACATCCTTATCTTATGGAAGCTGCGATCACTGAATGCAAGTTGTCATTTGTCTAAAGAAACTGATGTAAGTTCACTGAAATTTACACCCATTCCAGAACAAAATTGCATATACGATATCTGCTAACAAACGCCAAAGCGATAGGCGTATAATACGCGTAGTAATCCAGGTAAGTTTTTTAAAACAAATAAAACAAATGAAGCACTGCGCATTTCAGGGAATCATCCAAGACTCCACTTTTCTCCTTGAGACGCTTGTATTCACTTTCGCTCCTGTCATGGTTGAAAGTACAATGGGAATATTTATTTGTTACTCTTTGATATGGGAACTTGCACACGCCGTTGACGGGTGGGTCTATATTGCAGTGTAGGATTTCTGAGGTTGAAAAAGGTTACTTAAAAAAACTCTTTTTAGGATTATTATATTGTTGTACAATGTCAAGCTTCCGCGCTTCGAAATCACTTGCTATAGCGCTCCTACAACATCTATCACAAATACGAACGTTGCTATATTTTAGTATCTTAACGCTGACAAGAAGTAGTCTTCCGAAATGTTCCATGTATACGAAAGATTTTTACTTTACTGTTTTCATAAAATAGAGCCCACCTAAGGGCAAAAGGTTAGCTATCCTCATCCGACAAACATAGGATTCCTCCTCTGGAACTCAATTTTTTCAAAGATCACCAAAGTGGATTTATGAAAAAAAATACTACACCCCAATAAACGAAATCTGAGCATTAAAAGACCAAAAGCGCACAGCGAAGCTTCCCCCTCCCCCTCCTCCCCCTCCCCCCTCCCCCGCCGCACAGCATCGTCGTGATCTATCCACTGCTATAATAAAGGGGTTTCCGATCGATTTCTCAAAGCAACGATTATATGCGACAGACAGAACTTTTTCATTAGTTATACTATTACATACCAACACCTTAACACAAAAACTTCTGTTCTGGTACAACAGAAATGCACTTCATCTGACAACTCTTCTCGAACAAGTTATGCCTCTGCAGCGGTCTCCGGCTTGGGATCATCATCGCATCACGCTGATGTTTTCGGACGTTTAGCTGAAGTTATGTTAGAGAAACGGTTATCTGCATCTGGAAGCATTCTTAATTCTCAATAGTGAGACTCTTTGAGAAAAATCAAGCTATATTGAAAACCGGAAAATGATCAGCGATTTGATAGATTAATGATTTGCAAGCAAGATGTTCAACGTTAATGTACCATTGATGATTTGGATATAGTAATAGAACAAAAGCGAAAAAGCTGGATTTTTTTATAGATAATTTTCTTCGAAGTGCGCCATAAGATGCTTTTGGCAAAGGGCTGCGTTCGCAATGTACCAGAGCTTCGCATGTATAATCAAATACTATGTAACCTAAATTACGCGACTTGAATTATTCCAGATGAATCCTGCACTCTAATTGAAGAAGAGGGGCACAAGATTTGAGCGTAGAACCCAAAAACTTACCCCATCTTACTCCGTTTCGTGACTCCTCCTGCATCGTATTCCCCACAGTACAATCAACAACATTGTTCCTTTTCCATTTCAGTCTTTGATGAACATTTCTTCAAAAGACAAAGAATAACGACAGTTTGAGCAAAGAAAACATCAACGTAGTGTCAGGGAGAAGCACAGACTACCTGTCAGCTCTTTCAATAATGATTTTAACTCATTAGTTGGTTTTTCATGAATTAGGAAGTTTTTAATTTGTGATCAAATAAGTCCCAAAACAATTTGTCTCTCCAGTGACGGCTGCTTGAGGATGCAGCAAATGGGGCAACACTTCGCAAATGCCAAAACGACAATCTAAAGATTTCCACTTAAATAACTCCACGGTTGACTCACTCGTTTAGTATGAGATACGGCAAGGCAAAGATGTCGAAGTAGAGCAGGGAAGATGTCTCTGCTAGAATAAGATCCAAAGGGCCATAAGCTTCCATTTCAAAGTGCTCCCAGTAAATAAAAAAGAAGAGCTCGCACAAAATCATGATCAAAACCTGAAATTACGAAAATTTCAAAATGCGATTACCTAATCAAAGCATTCTACCTGCAAAGTCATCCGTATCTCTCCGTTCCGTCTCAATGTGAAGAGCCTTCGCTTTGTCAATAGTGCGAAGATCAGCGCATAAGCGACTAAATTGAAAATGCCGACAACATAATTGGAGAGTGTGTTGACCCTGAAAAAAAAATGCTGCAAAATTTGACAAATGCCGTCTTCTACTGAACGATTTAACGAAATTTAATTTGACCAAATTGGGCTCCCGGAGTCCTTCTCGAAAACATCGGTTTGCAATGAATTTGGCTATGCCGTGATAATTACTCAGCACACTTCAAAGAAGAAGGACCAAACATTTTTTGGTGATGTTTTTTGTACCTACGATCAATACACATTTTCTTATTGGAGTATGCGTTAACAAACTGACTGCCGTCAATTGTTTATAAGGGACCTGACTTTCTACAACTTTTAAAACGGGCCATGAAGAAACTTTTCTGGCTCAGAAATGCGCAACTTCAACTCTTTTGCAATGCACTTTCCCAATAAGCTCCAATCTAATAAGCTATGTCAAATTCAAAGCCCTCGAGCACAGCATTGCCAGTAAAACCGAAAATTAAGAACGGTTGAAGTTATGAGGGGGAAAGGACGATATAATATTTTATCCTTGCGTATTTCATTGCTGTCCTCACTTTTTTTTTCACATATCGCGGGCAAATGCGCACAAATTTTCACAAGGTTTGTGGGGGTAATCCAGGTGCCTAATTTCGCTCTGATCACCTCCCAGTATGAGGTTGATAGTCAAGTTCCACACCAAATACGTTAGAACCACTATCTTATATATTTAGCTGAATGTCTGTTTGTCTGTCTGTATGTATGTCACAGTGGCGTACCGAGGGGGGAGGGCGGGGGGGGGGGGGGGAGGTGCGCGCGCCTCCCCCCGAGAACGGGTCGCGAAATTTTTGGAAGTTACTTATATGGGTTATAAAATTGTGCAAATAACTTTTCTGCACTTGTAAATAATCAAAATAATTTTCAAAATTTTTAAAAAATTCAATTTAGCCTTATAAAGAAAATTTTTTCGGGGGCGTGGCTGACGCCACGCCCCCTTCTTCTAGAATTTTGGGGTCATGGGCCCGCGAAAATTTTCAGAAGCATATCAAAAAAATTTTCTCGGTGCGTGGCTAGCGCCACGCACCTTCATGAGAAAAAAATTTTTGTCGCCCCCCGCCCCCGAGCCGAAATCCTGGGTACGCCACTGGTATGTCAGTATGTCTGTCTGTTTGTCTGTCTGTGTGTACGTATGTTCCGAATAGAAAATTCCACTTCTGAACCGATCCGAACCAAATTTGGCACACATACACTTCGGGGCCGGGTGGGTGTCATAGCATACTTTTCGTCATCGATCGATATCGATTTCATCGATTTTTATCGATTTTCTGCAGACTTCACCTACGGGGCTGGGAGTTGGCATAGGGGGGTAATCGAGCATGCTGATCACTAAAACGGTGGGAATAGTGAATTGGCATGTAGACGTGGGCATATGGAAAGATGTAGTGGGATAGGGATGAGAGCTTTATCATAGTGTTTTAACGGGGCCGGGCGGAGCCGGGTAAAGCAGCTAGTAAGCTATATTCCTCTCAAACTCTGAATGGGTTGGGGTACCATTCGATAAGGCAAAGCATCCAAATGTTGTCCCTGTTCGATAGTTTTTGGATCTTGGCTATTGACGGCTCACATTTCTGCGCCTTCGCCTTCGTCAGAACTTGGAAGTCGAAGTCATTACAGGGCTTAACAACTGCAGTGTCGAGTGCACCAGCATTTCCGCTTCGCCTAAACTCTGCACCTCCTTCGCAAATATGCTCTCTGAGCACTTTCCCAGGGCGGCGTGGGAAAGGCGGAAACAATCGATTGGGAATAATTAAAGAGCATGTTCGCGGAAGAAACGGAGAGTCCAGCGCGAGAGTGGAGATGCTCGTGCACCCGACAATACAATTGATAAGCCCTGTAACTCATTCCTTCAGATGACAGGAAAAGACTCAGTGTACTCTTTGAAAGAAAGAAACATCGTCACAATTATAAAGACAACACTCACCTTGGATAACATGGAGGAAGTTAGAAGACCACCTATACACAAGAATATGCCTAAGCTATTTTATATGTGCCGTATCGACCTGACTTCATTTCCAAATCCGCATATGGATTGATAAAGCGCAAGTCTCTGCATGATAGCGACGCACTCCTTGTTTTGGATTTTTGATTGATCCCAAACGCCTCCAACGTTTTGCGTGCGAGGATCTAGGGCATATACGACAGATTCTCACTGAAATTGTACCTCAGCGTTGTTGTTGACGCACTAAACGGTGTTTTTCTACGACGTAGCTGCTCTCGACTTTTGCATTCCGTCCAGATGTTCTTCTACGAAACAACAAAGAGAGCGCTCTATTTTGCCAATGTGTGTGTGTCTAGCATGAAAGATATGCTATAAGATAAAAACACCGGACTGCCTACAATCACCCTCTTTACCAAATAGGCAGACCACACAATTAAGAGCAGAGCAAGTAACATCAAACACCATCTACAAAATCTATATGATCCTCGCTTGCTCACGCACATACATCGCGCCCATATTCACTTATGTAGTTGCTGTTTTCCTCGGCTGGGATCTCAAAAAACATAATCTTCAAGTTTTCGAAGCGCTGCCGAGCTGTTTCAAATTGGTATATAGCTGCTTAATTTAGGCCCGAAGCACAGCCGTGAATTTTCAGCCTTCTACAAGATTTACAAGGGAATGGTCAGAAGTCGAAGTGGCCAATCCACACAAGCTGCATGACATTAGATTCAGCATAAAACGCTGACTCTAAATCTGTCTTCCTTATCTGCAGAGCGCTTTTGTGGACGAAATTATAAGCCGTTGAAGCCATTATTTTGCTAAGAATTTGCGCGTGTAAAGTGCAAACTTGGCCGTACAAAGCCATTCTCGGCTCAATATTGGACCAGAACATGCAACGGTCACTTCATATGACCCGTACCTAGAGATGAGCTGAAAGAGCAATAATGTGCCTAATTTCGCAATTTTTGTACACGGCTTTTTCGCAGTAAAGCTGCTCATAACTTCGCCTTCAAAGGCGCTCTGCAGATATCGAAGACAGATTTAAAATCAGCATTTTATGCTGCATCGAATGGTATGAAGCTCGTATGGATCGGCCACTTCGACTTCTGACCATTCCCTTGTTAGTCGTGATAACAAACTTATAAAAAAGACTTAATTTATAAATATAAAATATATAATTATAAAAAAGACTTAATTCAGCCTCCAGCAAGACCTCGGAAAGAGGTCTTGCTGGAGGCTGAATTTTGCTTTGTTCTTCTAACCGCTTCAGTATACTTGCTAGTCTCAAAAATCGAGCATTGCTTTGACAAGATTCTGAATTTTCGCTTTCTCAATTTCTATAATAGCTGAGGAAAAACGCGCAACTGCATATATGAATGTCTAATGTGAGGGATACACGCATGAGAGAAAAAGAGATCCGGAAGATGTTTAAGGGTGCCTTCATACCGCGCCGGCAGCCGCCGCTAGCAGCTAGCCGCCCGTAGCAGCCGTCAGCAGCCGCCAGCAGCCCGTAGCAGCCGCCAGCAGCCGCCAGCAGCCCGTAGCAACCGCCAGCAGCCGCTGGCCGCTTTTGTTATAGAAGCGCAGGATCACTGGAGTACTACTTTGAGTGCTCTGCTACGCTTTTCATCTTCTTTGCTTTTTCTTCTATCGCCGGCCAGTGGATAGTTTGATCTCTCACATCATATTTGTGTCCATTTCATAACCTTGTCGCCCACAATTTACTGAACTTTCTTTCCTGGGTAGTTTCCTCTGACTCTGAATGCGTCCAGTTCCTGCAGATGTGTGATTTGTTTACTTTGAGCAGGCTTTTGCTTCAATCGTCTTCTTGGCTATCGGTGCATATCTGAATTGCATTCCACTATTTCGCAACTCGCCGATTGATTCGCGGTATGGGTTCCTCTGACTTTAACAATGGCTCACATGTTTCACACAAGACAGATTGCAAAATTGAAATGTGGGCACAGATAGGATGCAATGTGCGGCAATAGAACAATGAACACAAATGTGATGTGTTTTTTTTCATTTTCGAACTACACATTGGCAGTAACAGAAGAAGAAGCGTGAAAGATGAAAAGCGTAGGCAGGAGCAGTCAAAGTATTGAGATTCTGATGTTTTTGCGCTTCTATAACAAAATCGGCCAGCGGCGGCTACGGGCTGCTACGGGCTGCTGGCGGCTGCTGGCGGCTGCTACGGGCTGCTAGCGGTGCCGGCGCGGTATGAAGGCACCCTAATAAGTAAATTTTCTCGGCCTTCTTAGTTTTTGACTTCATATTTCAGGTGAGTTAAAGCAGATGCGAGCCCCAAAACACCAGCTCAGAAAACTTACTTTACTCTATTTAATGGTGTTCCAGGGTGGAGGACATTAGGTCGCCGAAAGAGGGCGGTCCCCGCGGTCATTTGCGACAAATAAGCACCCTTGTACATACGCGGACATGCGTTCCTGCAGGGAATCCGCGCGGGACTCTTCCAAATTCGGCGACCTAATGTCCTCCACCCGTGTTCCACAGTTGTCTAGATTTAGAAGAGGTATATTTGCGTTTTGACCTATTTTAGTACAAATTTCTGTTCCGACCTAATATTTTACTTTCCCAAAAAACTGAAGTACATCATCAGACCGAATGAGGAATAGACTATGATTTGGCCAGTTCGGTCATGACGCTGACTCTTGACCATTCCCCCACTTGGCAAATTGTGGAGTTTAAAGAAGGACTCCAAACCTAACGGATATTGCAGCGATTATCCCGATTGCCCTTATTCAAACAATATCCGAATTTCCAATAGATGACCTCAAGCGTAAGGATTCCCATTTAGAGAAAGAAAAAAGTTTACAAATAGTCCATCACAATTTCACAACAGTGGCAAATGCAGGCTCAATCTCAAAAAAGTATAACTTAAAAAATTACTCAGGGAACTTGTTTTCCTCGATCCATGTATTCTCTGCAAATACCATATATTGGGGTATCCATCTTGAGCTCATAATTCTTGTATTCAGCAGAACAACTTCTGAAGCGAAGCACAGAATTAACGCACCAATTATAATCTAAAAAAGAACCATCAGCGATGCACTGCTAAAATTTTTGTGAAAACTTTCTAACTATAAAAACTTGAAAACTTTTTTCTTATGTACTTTCAAAAAATTTGGGCACAGCAGCGCAGCACGAAGGAATGCCCAATAGTAGTGACAATCACATATTAGGTTGGCACCTAAGTTTTGCTTTCCCCACGACTTTTTTTGCAAATGCACCGCTCTAATTTCTTTGACATTATAGTATACATTTTGTAGGCTGCAAGATTGCGTTCAGCTCCATTCGGCTATGCTATTTATAGTTGGTCAAACGAACTTCGAGATGTTGGAAAAGAAACCAAGCTGCATAATATTTTTGGACATCTCAGTTACTCAAGCTGTACTATCCTTCTGTGACTGTGAGTTGAGCATTATTACATGAGAGTTCCGTATTGCATTCGTGGTGGAACTTACTGCGTATTAGCCGTACAAATCAAAAGAAATGTAGGTCATCATTAGTTAAACATGTATAAGGACTCGATTACTTTTGTAATCTTTTTGTCGATATATATTGTTTCGGCCGGAAAGACAGTGTAGATGAGTCGATTGAATGTGATACACATGCTCAAGATTACGGCAGTGAAATATGAAGCATACGCAGCCGAGCCAAAAGCCTTAAAACAAACTAATGTACCTCCTTAAAAACATTATTGTTGTTAAATTTGTTACTTACGATCCACAAGGTTTGATATCGAATCCAGTCCAGATCAATAATCGCTAAGAGACAGGCAACCAACTGCACGACAAATCTCAGTATGGATATCACCGATGCAAAGAAAAGCAGTGTAAATGAAAATCTTGAATCCCAGCCGCATAGATCTCGGATACCCTGTATGGTCGATTTTCAACACTCGCAGTCATACTATTGATGCGAAATTAATGCATTGTTGTTCGTTATTCTGTCGCGTCAGAATAAATTCAAAAACGTAAGTGAAACACACCATCTGATAGAGCCAAGCAAGCACCAAGATGGCAGTTGAATAACCTCAATAGTTCGATACACGTGAATTTTGAAAGTCCAACAAATTTTAACACCCAAAAATAGAGACCTCCAAGTTGCTCAAGGTTACTGAGGTTAAGAAGGTTATTCATCAAGCGTACCCCTGCTTTGGCAAGAGCAATGATGGACTGTTTCGACATAAGTAATTTACTATAAAAGTAAATAAATTTCAGATTTCTTCGAGCGCTGGGTTAACAAAATCAACATGAAAAACCCAAATAGTCGACATTTTCTTGTTCCAGCCTGTTTTTATTTTCCAATTTCCAGCTACGAAAAAACACGCAGTCGCACATACATACGAATGTCAGATGTAGTTTTTCCGTGCATGACTCGCGGGTTTTTAGACGTAATTCTAGTTTTTGGGTACTCAAAGTCTTTTCGTGCTTTCAGTTTCATGCAGATCGTACTTTTTTTAGTTCTGCAAATGCCATTTTGTAGAGCTTTCTTTGCTCTATCGAGAGTTTTGTTTGCTACGATTTCATATTCTGGCCGCCGCGACAGGATAAGAATTAAGCATCAATTTTGTGTCAACCTAATCCATAGTCTGAGAACTTACATATAGGAAAAGCAGATTCAACATTATGGAAGCAACGCTGAGAAATGTATAGTACAATGCTACATACATCCTGTTGAGTCCGTAAAATCCAGAAAATTTGTTGGTATCAATGTCAGAAGTTGAATTGAGCATAATGACACCTGTCTACAAACTGGTTCATGTTCATATTGGCGATATTCGTAATGTACACAAATGTTCATTTTTATCGAAAGAGGTAATCATCAGTACGCCCTGTCGTGCCCTACATATGGAGCAAAGTTGATGATACTAGAGAGCTTCCGAAATTTCTCAGAACTTTACACAAAAATGCAACAGAAATCATCCAACCAAATATTTATGCCTTACCCGCAGGTAACAGTGGCGTACCCAGGATTTCCGTTCGGGGGAGGGGGGCAAAAAAAATTTTTTGTAAGGCTAATTTGAATTTTTAGAAAACAATTTCAATTATTCACAAGTACAAACAAGTCACTTGCACATTTTTATAACCCATATAAGTAACTTTCAAAAATTTCGCGACCCATTCTCGACCCCCCCCCCCCCCTCCGGTACGCCACTGATAGGTAATCATGATTTCTTGGCCAGCATGCCGTTACAAACTTGTTATCTCTTTCAAAGATGATTTATGCCACCTATTTGAACTCAAAACTACAACTACACTTCATTGGTCCATTTCAGAAATCTCACCCCAAGTAGTGAGGTAAAAACAAATCATTTGCACAATTTCAAAACTCATGTAGACTACTTTGAAAACTTTGCTAAACTAGTAATAAATGTGTTGTGCATTATTACCATAAATAAATCTAGAATCTGTAATTATTACATTGGGAATTTATCTACTCAATTTATGGATTGTTCAAAGACATACACTGCATCCCATGCATTTAGTTTATAGAAGTCGAATGCGCGTTCAATTGAAAGAACTGTATTCCGCAGTAAGAGGTGCGATGAAAAATGTACTAAACATTGAAATGATGATCACTACCATTTGGTGAAAGTAGTGGTACAAAAATTTGCAGTCTCAGTGCACTAAAACCCGCACTTTAATTGCTACCGAGATAATGGAATGCTATAAATTCATACTGTTACGTAGGTACATTCTATCAATTCGATTACCACTCAGCAATAATTGCATAGTTGGTTCAGTATCCAACAATTTATCCAAAAATAAGGGAATATTTGCTATACATTGACGACGTTTTCAAACACTAAAATCTTGTAATGCTTGACCATGCATGTAGGAATGCAGCGATTCTCAGCTGGCTGCCAAAGGACAATTTTGTAAACTGACTGACAACTGAGCTTTATCCAAGCATGCATGCCAACAAAGAACAATCGAACAAAACCGGAAAACAACTGAGGGCATGAAATTCCTGATGTTGGGATATCAAAATTTGTGACATCAACAGAAGGCAATAAGATCACAAAAGAAAACTTCCAAAATTGCAGGTTCTTGCGCAACATAACTAGAGTTAAAGTTAAAGCATGAGCTTATCTTTGACCGTGTTTCTGACAATCTCCACAAGCATGTCGAACTCCTTCACTCTCGAATTCTCGTGCGACGCATCCTTAACAAAACTATCATTCTAAAGACTGACGCAAGCACTTTCAAAAAATTGTACCTGTGCTGTATGTCGACGCATGAAATTTCCTAATTCTTCTGCAGCTATAGCAAACATGAGTGGATTACGATCTCGAGTAACCTAAAGAACCTTATTCCTTGCATATCAAAACATCACTATCGACAACACACTTTTTCATCACGAATAGATCCGGCATATGCACCCAGCAACGATGTATACTGTACGTAATGTTGTTCTTCGATATCCGAAGCCTGGTCTGTGGATAGCCTTCGAATGTGTGAGAGAATATCGTCCTAAATTAGGTAGGAATGAAACGTGTTCGCATTTCTTCAACAAATCACGCTTGACCATCGAAAATTTACTAACCGCTTCACCCAACTTCAGAGTAATTTCCCTGGCCGTGTTCTTTTTTGGAGACCAGATGGCAAAGCGGCACTCCAAGCTAAAAAAACATTTTCCAATATTGTCGTAATATGGAAGTAAGGGTAATCACCACTAGGTATGCTGATTTTGAGAAAAATCTTTATATCAGTTCAGTGCCAGAGCCCACGCTGAACAGCCGATTTCTCGCTGCTTCGTGTGTGCCCAAATATGCAAAAGTAAACTGTATCAAAGCCCGTACATTTGAAAGATCACAGGCATTGCAAAAAAGTCCAACAGATACGTATATCCGCAATGATGACCATAAATCACAGATTGTGCGCAGGAAGGGGAGGAAGAAGAGATCCGAGAGCTAACAACTGACATAGGATATGGATGCACCTGATTCTGATCGGCTTATTTCCATAAACATATTTACTGACGTTTCTGCTGCTTATCATTCGGTATATAAGCACTGGAAAGCGTGGGTCTCTTCATTCCACTATTTCACTACTCATTACGATACCAGCGGTCCTCAACCATGTCCACGGCTGTTCCGGTGCGGCTTGTCTGTGATGCTCGCAAAGGAAGTATCGTCTACATTCAGGAGACAGCGCACAGCCCTAAGAGTCCTATGCAAGAGACTGGCGAAGAGATTGCCTTTGAGCTTAGAGCTGACTACATCAAAAAACACAAGAATGAAATGGTAAGAAAACCAAAGGAAGCGCGTAAGTTGACGTTGAATCCTTGACATTGCAGGAAAAGAACTGCAAAAAAGTGGGCATAGTCGACGATCAGATCGAACGGATACTCGCTGTTAGTTACGACTATTACAGCCATATAAAATTTTACAATGAGAACAACTACAGGAACTTGAAAAAGAAGAATGGTACCATGGTTTCCTGCCCTTAGAAGATATCTCCGGTCTTCTAAAAGAAAAAGGCGATTTTCTGATAAGAGCTCTTGACCCAGAGGCAGACAAGCCACCAATGGTAATGTCGTAAACGTCAAAACAACCTGAAGTCCCGAAAGCCATAGGGGCATACATCAAGCGATTTCACCGCCTCGCGATTCTTTCGACAGGGCAGCTGTTACGAGACCATTGCATGGCGATCATCCTGCAATTCGGTTGTGATAGTCCTCCACCTGACTAATCGCGGATAACTATCACGACCGAAATGCATGATCGGCATGCAATGTCGTAACAGTTGTCGAGAGAATCATGAGGAGATCGACGACGAATCGAGGAAATTGCGAGATATAAGCCTGACCCTCAACGCAAGATTCAAATGAGTTAAGGCATGCGTCACCGTTAACTGGGGAGAAATCAAAGATCATATCATACACTTTCGAGTACTCGGAGAATCAAGATTATTCACACTGGACGGAAATTTTCGTAACACAAACATCATTGATCTAGTAAAGTAAGTAAAAAGATATTCACAAAGGTGGCAGATGATTGTGTGCAGGTTCCACCTCGAAAGTGGTTCACCCATAGCAGATGAAGTCAAACTTTTGAAGCCTATACCAAAACAAAAATGGGAGTTAACAAAAGATAAGTTAACAATCGGAGAGAAACTTGGACACGGAGAGTTTGCCGAAGTATTTGCTGGGAAACTCAAGGAAGGATCAAACAAAGAAATCGAAGTTGCCATCAAAAAAGTGCGTCTATGACTTAGCTGCATCTAAGCCGATAATTTTGGAACAATCAAAAGACAATATAAATTTACAAAAAACGTTCCAGACGAAGGTAAGTGAAGACAACAAAGAGGAGATTGAAGAGATGCATAAGGAGGCAAGGTTGATGCGGCAGTACAAGCACAGGTAGAGCGGTTTTACTTAACGGCTTATGTTCGAGATTTCAAATTTAAATGGCGCAGAAAAAGTTGCCATTAGATATGGCAAGAGCAATAAGATAAAAGAGGAAAGACTGGTTCAGAATAATATAAGTCAGTCTTGGAGTATGAATGGCTACTCACAGACACTGTATCTCCATAAGTCGATTTGCTAGGATAAACGACCACTGTGGCTCGCAAAACATTTGAAAAATCGTTTTTTCAGGAACATAGTCGCATTCTTTGGGATCGTCTACACAGGAGCAGAAAGTGCGCTTATTGTGATGGAACGTATTCATGGTGGTTCATTGGACTCCTATTTGAAGAAAAATCCAGATGTGAGACGCATGAACAAAATCAACTGCAAAAACACAGCGATTTACAGCTCACCAACGACAGCAAAATTTCGTACGCAGCAGATTTGTCGTATGGTTTGCTCTACTTGCATAACAAGAAGTGTTTACATAGGCGAGTTGGGAAAACACAAGAACGTGGTTGAAATTCCAAATTCAGGGACGTTGCATGCCGCAATTGTTTGATAGACGAGATCCAACAGCGAGTTAAATTATCAGATTTTGGTATGTCCAAACAGGGTGAAGTTTATCATATAGCAATAGGAGAGAAGACACCCATAAGATGGTAATTTTTTAGCCGATCAAAAAGAATAAGCTACTTTTTTGTTGGGTAAAACTAATACATTGCTTAAGCAATTCTGAAAACGAAAACTTTTGCTCAGAAATATAACTTCATAACAAATTCAGGCAAGCTCCAGAAGTTCTAAAACAACGCCTCTATACGGCAAAAGCTGATGTCTTCTCGTATGGTATTACTGTATGGGAGATCTTTCACAAGGCGGAGATGCCTTACACTAACATTACTAATAAAGTTATAAAAGAAAAGGTTAAGTTTTCCAATATGAACGTGAACCAGAGATTATGTAAAATCAAACAGCATATTTCAGATAACTGATCCCACATTTAGGCCGGAAATAAGTGCTGATGTACCACTTCCTATAGTTAAAGTAATGAAAGCATGTTGGAAAGGAGACGCAGAAAAAAGACCTACTATGCTTGGAATTGCCAAATATTTGAGGAACAAGATGAAAAGGTACCTTGCAATCATTCTCAAAAAAATCGTGCGCCCTAGTTTCTGCTAACGATAAGATAACTATGCCTAGGATTCGCGAAATGAGCGAGAGGAGAGTAAGTGGATGTTTGATCTATTATCTGAAAACAAAATAATGTGATGTACAATCTCAATGTTATAGACGAGATCTTCGAGACGTCAGAGGACGCAAAAATCAGAGAGGCATAGAAGTACAACTAATGGTATGTAATGTAGTGAAAACTATGCAACTCCATAACAAACTTCTTTATAGTTTTGGCTTCATTGAGAAGAAAGAAGAAGAAACAGGTAGGACAAGCATACCCTTGAAAACAATTTAGACAGCGATCATCATATTTTTCAGGAAAAAAGCAGGCAGCAGCAAAGCAAATCAGCAGATAGCGCGTACTGAGCGGTTTTCATGGCTAGAAAGCGTATTGTCGCTATATTTTGAAATCATCAGTCGAACATGTCTACCAAAATTATTTAATAAATACTGCTGTGTTTGCTCAAGTTAAAATCATCTTGAAGCCCTAGCAAAAAAGCAGAAAAGAACCTGGAGCTGTTTCCCAAACCGTAAAGAGTATTGGGTGACGGATGGAAGGTTAGAGATTTAACAAGTGGAAAGAGTTAAGCCAAAAAATTATGCCAAAATCACAAGCAAAAAGTAGAAAAACCTATTGGCGTTAACCAGAAGAACGCCATCATTGCAACTCGAAAGACTTTTTGTACAACTTGAATTGACTTTCTAGAAGATGCATGCAACATATTATCATCTATCAACAAGATAATTATGAAACTGAAATCATAAAGCCTTCAAATAAGAAAAGGTTACCTGTCGCCTAGAGCAGAGTTCAAATAAGCACCAATGAGCAGTGTTCTAGCAAAACTGACGTCTCCCAAAGAATACTCCTCGAAGTGGACTAGTAGGTCTTCGTAGCTGAATAAGTGGCGGTGTGTAAAAATCATTTTTTTAACTGGCTTCGATACTTAGGTGGTTGCTTACAAAGGCATAAATGCATCCAAACCAGCTACTCGACTATCCATGCGGAGACATATTCGTCCTTCGATAGCTGCCTGAAAAAAATTTCCAGCTAAGATGGATAACGGGGAGAAAAGGCTAACCTTTAAAACATAACCATTTAAGAGACGCGAGTAACATGCAGCGATCACATCGTCGGCTAATACGTCTCTACCTACAATCATTAAAAGTTAAAGATTGTGTGAAGAGGCCCAGCGAAAGCATGCGTTTAATAAGGGAAAGAAGAATTTCAAAACGGATGATTCACTTGAAAAAAAAAAAGAGAAATACCTATAAGCAGCACTTCTGCTAATCTGACATAGATGTCATTGGGATCTGCAAATGCCAAAAATGCTGTCAGCCTCTCGTCATGCAGTAACAAAGTCCATAGCAGAGCGAGACGCACGATATCAACATCGTCTTCACTAACCTCTCTTGAAGAAACTTTCAGCAGTATATACGCATAATAAAAAGTGAGTAACTCACTCTTCTCTTTTGTTCACAGCATCAAGCACTCTTCGAATAGGTACCAGAGTCCATGACCCATCCACAAGCGGATTTACTCCATGACCAAATTGAAAGAACGTTTCATCACCAGATTTGCTGAATGAGCGCGATCGCAGGTTTACAGCACGTTCAAATCAAAAAAGTAATAAGCAAGAATTCCACGATAAATAAAGTAAAATTGGCATTTAATAGTGCTTACATTTCCTCCAGATACAGCTCCTTTATTGCATCAATACGAGACCTGGCCAACTCGAGAAGAGGATCTTTACTTCTAGATGATAAAACCTGTCGGAAGAATTTCGAAGCAACCGGAAATGAGACCGATAAGAAGCATACCCGCTAGGTGCAATCTTGCAATTGTCAAACAGCTTTACTGCATTTTTCTGTTGTCGTGGAGCAACACTACGCAGACATTTTGTTGCAAAATCCAATTGAACTGCATCCTGAAAATGGGATTGGTATTTCGAAAATGACTGTAGAAGTGAGTCTTGACTTAAGGATTTGCCAACGATTTTCAAGCATAGTTTTGTGTAAGGATGAATTACCCCACCGTAGCCAAACGATTATACTTCTCCTGATCGCTGCGATCGGGAAAATCATCCAGAACTTCAAGCTGATTGATCATGTCTTCCACAACTGGAGGTGCAGGCGGATTTGTTTCTACAGAAGATGGCGGCTCTCCACCTTTACTAGTCGAAGGTTTTTGTAAGGCAGCTGCTTTCCGAGAAGATTTGAATTTTGAAACTGGAACGGTAGGATGGAATATTGATGTGCAGCTACAACAATTTAGCTGCTTCGCACCTGTGGCTTTAGACTCATTCTTCGACTTGTTTTTATGACGATTTTTCAAGAAAGCAACCGTTTCCGGTTCTGAAAATCATCATTACAAAGATCAATCAGAACAAAATGCTCGACGCACTCATTCTTTCAGCAATTTCTTTTCGAAGTTCACTGATCTTCTCTTGGTCGAGACCGGCTATATACCTAGAATTATAAGCTGGTCAGTGAAAAATTCCCATCAAATTGAAAAACTACTTTTCATTTTCGGTCTCAAAGTTTGCTTCGGTTTCCTCGTTCATAGCCTGGTCATCTTCTGCAAGAACTCCTTCATCTGAAATACTACATTTCTTTCAATTCTGTAACTACCAATGATATGCACAGTGATTCTTTACCAAGTTTTCCATGCAGACGATCAAATTCGGCAGCAAAGAAACTTTTTCCACCTGCATTTCGCTTCAACTCCACGTCTTTCCTAGAGAAAAAACAAGAACCTCAGAGGAACATTACATGCAGGGCTTACTTGTAGTAAGCACTTAGGTCAAGAACATCCGGAAAACCGTCATCAGCTGAGTACTGTAGCTTCTCAAATCCTTGGCGAGCAAGCTCATCACTGTGGTCCGACTCGAGCCAATCTGCATTCCGTTCCTGAAGATACACTATTTTTTCAGACATTTAAATGAAAAATGGATACCTCAACGTTAAACAGGACTTGACTGGACAGCTCTTCATCGATTTTGTCGAGGTCAATGAAGAAACGTCCTAAATTATAGAGACACAGACCATTCACAAATATTGATGGCCGCGCCGATTATGGGCCAGCGCCACCAAAACATTCTAGTTTACATGGCTAAAACATAAAAATACCTTCCCCCCCCCCCATTGGCATCAACTACACTAACAAAATTCGGGAACATCTGATAGCAAATTTAAAGAACGAAAAAGAGTTAAATCGGGTTTCTTAGCGGCATTAAGTGAGGGCAACCACAATCAAAGCAACGTTTTATAATAGCAATGTTTTTTTATAATGTATAAGTGTCCTACATCAGTACACAGTAATCATATAGCTTTTTGAGAAACACCTCACCTCCTTCCTCGAAATTCCGAGTTGGTATTGCCTTCATGGATTTGACCGTTTTCGGTCTTTTTGCTGATGGCTTGGCCTCCTCAGATGGCGGTTGGGTTGTCTTTTTCCTCATGCGATGAATTTCCACGCTTGGCTAAAATGAGTGCATTATATATTTTAATAATCCTTACGCATATAAAACATGCAAATGTGCCTCAACGGAACAAAGAAAGTCAAATACAGGTGGTTTTTAACTTTCAACACTATCCACTAACTTTAAATCCTCTACGGTTTCACCTTTGCCTCCGGTAACTCCAAAGAATTCGTAATATTGGCCCTTTTTATAAGATCCAAAGTCAGATGATAGTTTGAAGTAACCGAAAGACTGACCTAAGGCTGCGTTCATACTGATTCCCTTGTTCTGGAACTGTTCCCGCACAGTTCCCGCACAGTTCCCGCACAGTGCGAGAACTGTGCGGGAACAGTTCCAGAACAAGGGAATCAGTATGAACGCAGCCTAAGGCCTCGAGCATAGCTCAAGCAATTTCGTCGCCTCGTCTCCCCACAAAACAATTACGACTCATTTGATGACCCTGCAATTCGGTTGTGGTAGCTAGTCACGATTAGTCGTGTCGGAAAACTATCACAACCGAAACACGGGAGGGTTGGCATGAAATGGACTCGTAACAGTTGTCTTGTTGAGAGATTCGCGAGGCAATAAATTCGCGTGGACTATGCCCAACGCTTGAGGCATGCACCCAAACAGGAACCTCGGTGTTCGGCATAACGCTGGGAAAAAAGCTGATTTCACTATGCGATAGGCCCCATCAAGAATGTCTGTGAGCGGCAAAACACAGAGAAAAAAGAGAAAAATTCGAAAGACAAGGTCAAGTATCGTAAACTGCACAATTGCCCTATCCGTTTAAGTACTGCTGACATATGCTTGCTTCTCTCCAAGTTCGCAGGTTTGAGTAACCACTCAGAATACTATTTTCAGTAACCACTCAGATATTAGTGAGGGGATAGTATGGAAAAAAATTTGAAAACTCAATCTCTGAACGTAAAGGCAACAAACCGTGGACAAATATTTCGGATATGTTGGAGTAACAACTATCGAACAATCAAAGTTCTTTGCCTTCGAACAAGCCTGCCAACCCATCTGCTTTCTTGACAAAACTCAGCCTACTTTCTAAAAGGGATGTGCCAACACTGACCTTCATAAAATTCCCTTTCTTCGCTTCCCACTCGTTTTGCATGGCAAGAATGTCATCTTCAGTTTCTGCTGCGCTTGGCCTCTTCACAAAAGCATTGCCATCACTCATCTAATATCAAAATTGTGAGCACATAAAATAACAAGTAGTTTAAAAGGCTGTTGTCCACAATCCATTCGATACCAAAATGTAGGAAAACACCTCATGTAAAATGCACGGCCATAGGATGATATTCATTGTACAAAGTGAGATTTACATGGATCAAAGTCATACAACGTACTGATTAGACCAAAAAGAAGCTCAAGAAATCAATAATATAGAGGGAATAAAAAAAACTGAGTCAACTTATTCAACCTTGGTGAACATTCAACATTAGTCTAAAACGCCAAAAAGAGACAAAAGAAGTCGAAGCTCAACTTAAACAAAATAAGTAAGTGAAAGCAGTGAATTACCGATATGAACACAGACGAAGTGCTCAAGGTAAGATTTAAAACTTCAGGCGGTGCAATCCTTTTCTTAAAGGAACAGAGATCGAGCGCGTAAGTCCGACTTTGTTACAACGGTCTTTAGGGCTCAACAAGGGCCTCCTGCAAATGATTTGTATGATTCAGTAATCTTAGAGAAACCAGCCACTCACTTTGGAGACTGAATTTCATGAATTTTTGCACGAGCTAGTTGTTTTGCTAACCGATTTCCAGTGGCAGAGTTACCAGTGCAAGGCGATTTCTTCACAGGTCGACGAAGGGCGAGCTCTCGTAAACGAGCACTGAAATGACTACTCTGATAAGAAGGCAGCGATAAACTAAATCAAAGGAGGTCGCTAATCTAAACTGACGTCATATTAGTCTTTTTCAAGTACAATTCTGGCGTTGGAGTCGACTTCGGGGTACGCATTAGGTTGCTATCCAGGTCAAATTCATAACCAGCAAGAGCTTTTGAGACGCCTCGAGGGGTAGAATAGACGTTCTAAAAAACGGAACATTACACAAAACGTAGGTTGTCAGACTGTCAAAAAACAACGCTAGGCAATTTCGGTAACGGAATCATAAATCTTTTTTTTACTTCATCCGTTTCCGAATTTCCCATACCAGCACCTACAGAAATTACAAAGCAGTACCCGATTGTGCAACATTTGCGTCTTTGCTACAGAGCTTTTCATCCCTAGCATATAAGTGCACAAAAAAAAACATCTCTACCTGTAAGCACTGATCTGATAGCCTAGTATTCAAATTAATTTCATTATAACTACCGTGTTACTGTCAGTAATTTTAACACCGCTCTTACATTGGTGTAGATAGTGATTTTAAACAAGCCATTACGATGTCAGCCAAGCTAGGGCTGCGTCCACAGTTACTACTTCTTCGCCATCGTACCGGAACGCGGAACTATGGACGTGTTCTGAGGGCAAAAGTTATAATATCTGCTCCAAGACGGCGGTCGCCCAAATAGGTTGAAAGCATGCGAGGCTGCAGCGCGCGCGCAATTGTCAACCACAGGGCGCGCGCACGCTCGTTCAGCGGTCGCTCACGGGAGCGTACGCGCGACCCGTGGTTGACAATTGCCCCCGCGCCGCGTTCGCGTTAGCCTTGTATGCTTTCAACCTAATTGGGCGACCGCCTTCGTCATGGAGCAGATATTACAAGCTAAATTGCTAGTGTATAGCGAACTGTGGTACCGACAACATTGAATCGTCATGGAGAGATCCTCAACAGTTGTAGTCAGACAGGCGAATGATTTCCGTGACTACTAGCTGGCTTACCCGGCTCCGCCCGGCCCTGTCAAACACTGTAATGAAGGTCCCATCTCTAACCCTGTATAGCAGCCTTTCCTTGTGCCCACTTCTACACTTCATTTCCCATCCATGTGTTGTTTTCGAAATCAGCATGCCCACTTACCCCCCTGTTCCAACTCCCAGCCCTATAGCTCAAACTTTGCAAAAAATCGATAAAATCGATCAAACTAATGGATAATTTTGAAAAATTAAAATTGTATTCGGAATCCCCATGCTCACTTACCCCCCTGTGCCAACTCACAACCCCGTAGGTGAACTCTGCAAAAAGATAAATCGATAAAATCGATATCGACCGATGACGAAAAGTATCCTATGACACCCGCCCCGCCCCGAAGTATGTGTGCCAAGTCTGGTCCGGATCGATTCAGAAATGGAATTTTCTATTCGGAACATAAGTACACACAGAGACACAGACGGACAGACAGACATACAGACAGACAAACAGACATTCAGCTTTAAATATAAAATTATTTCGTTTTGATGAAAAAAAAACGCTACAGGGCCCATAGCTGATGTCGTCGACGTAACAAGTGCGCTAAGTCACTACTTCAGCCTACTGGAACAGACCAGCAGTCAAGTACCAGTTATTAGTAGCTTAGCACTTCAAATATTCTGACCGCTGGGGAGGAAGGGAGGGAGGAGGGGGAGTATTAGCTTTTACGTGCAATGAAAATCGCAATGAAGTTGGAAAAGCAATATTTGCCATTATCTGGTGCCGCAAAGCATTCTCGTAAAAGAAAATGGCAGGGACGGATGATGTTAGCAAGATTTTGTCGGCGTACAGCAAGAGAACCATCAAAGCAGCAGTAAACAGTAATGCCGTGACAAGACTGGAAAATGTCATTACCACATAACAAGGATGTTCGTATAAACAAGAGAACACTTATGTTATGCGAATGTTGTTAACAGCCCTTACGGTATATACATAAGTGATGCTTCTCTATATTCTTGCTCATATAAGGCCGACAGCACTCTTGAGATGTATTTAACTGGCTCGCATGATTCAAACAAAAGTATAATAAAAAACAACGCTGGTAACTTTTTTACAAAAAAAAAACCAATCTATAAACCTAATCAAAAAGAGTGGTACCTTGCCTTGGAGAGTATGAGCTGGTGTTACAACCCTCCTCTGAACCCGATATGGTGATGGCGAACGGGATTCATTCAGAGGACGAAGAGCACGACGAGATCGAATAGAATTCTCAGCAACAGAAAATTTCTGAAACACATAAATCTTCTCACGGTTTGCAGATTTTGTAAGTGAAAAACAACAAGAAATATATAACGCAAATTAACTGCATCTGACAACTGCAAGAGACAGAAGCTTAGTACCTTCTTAATATTGTTCATTATTTGACTTGAAGATCTTCGCAAGCTAGTGTACACCATATTTCTGCGGTATGCATGAGGACCTTCATCCTCACTGCCAATGGTAATATTCATGTGAAGTAAATTAGCTCTCCCGAAAATTTCAACACGGAAAATAAAATATAGATTGTAGAAGAGTCATTACTACTTCCAATGTTTCAGTCATCCAAAATATGACAACTTATAGACGAGAGCGCATATATCGGCTCTCGCAGCCCAACCACGTCCTACCTGAGATATCGCGTAGGGACATATGTAATGATGCGCATTCAAACAAGATTACAGAATCAGAAGCTGAATCCATGGATTTTTTGCAAATCATAAAAGCAGAGCCTATAGCAAAGGACTGGATACAAGTTTATTCAACTCATAGTCGTTACCGCGAAAGTGCGTAAAATCCGGAGCGCCTTGCACAATGTCAACACCTTATTTTACGCCTAAAATTCAAAAAAGGAAAAAGATATAGTTGGTTTATGAATCGTGACGACGGATTTGACTGCGGACTTTGCGCCTACAGGAGCATAAAACGCTCATACAAAAAGGCATCACCTCAACGTTCAGCTCAATCACTTCCAGTGTCTGAATATTATCGTACGTAGGCAAGGAAACCATTTGATAAGAGAAGAAAAAAAAAGCGATTTCCGGAAGTGGTGTGCGTATCGCGCCCGGTCACGTCATCGTCACGTTAGCTAGATGTGGTATGGGCTGCATGTCAGAAGATATGCCGCGCGCGGAGGCTCAGATTTTGTGCCCTACATAAACTGTGCGGTCAAAGTGTCGCGGCGGGAGACTAGGAGAGTGGGGGTGGGAGTAGATACATTACTCAATGCCGTAAGTAACATCGCAGAATGGGCGCTGGATCATACGTTGCTATCGCGTTGCGGCATCCCCTAGGGAAAAATTCGCGCCGATAGTACCTCCAGACCGTTCCCCGTCGTATGTTCGTACGAGAGGGCAAGCGTTAGGCGACAAAGCGTGCAAATTGCGAGCAACGTAAGCCGCGTAACCCACAACTATGCGCCATTTTCACAAGGACGCCAAGTTATTGCCCCCTCCACAGTTGCTGCTACACTTGGTCTGCGTCCAGAGGTGCGATCTCAGACACTCGCTGCGGCGGCGGGCGCGCCATAATAGCGCTACAGTGCGAGCGGCGCGCCCTATTTGATGCTGCCGTGCGTGCCGCGTATCTACCATTTACTCGCGGCGCGCGTGCCATCTACTCGTGGCGCGCCATTTGACGGCCGGCGGCGGGCGACATGAGGGGCCGCACGCATAGGGCGCGCGCGCCGCCGCAGCGAGTTCTGAAATGAGGGAGCCCCCCCCCCCAAAAAAAAAGTGAAGATGGTCCCAGCTATCCATCACTGGCCGCCAAAAGTGAAGGTGGTAGTGCCGGACACTCACCTCCCAAAACGTCGAGCGGGGATGGGGGAGGGGGGGGGGAGAGCACTCGACGTCTCTTTTCGCAAAGAAATTTCTTTCTCAAAATTTTCATAAGCTTCTTCACGGACTAGTAGAAAGGAGAGATAAGAAGAACAAATTCAAAGCTTACTAATGGCTTTCTTTACCTTGACTACTTTTAGGAACTCCCGTTGCCTACTGCGAGCACCACGCCATCCTGGCACGGACCCACCTAAGCTCCAGCACTTCCCACAACTTCGGAGAGCAAAGCTTCTCGATAAATTTCAAGAGCCTAACCCAACGGTCCTCTTTAAGGCCAAGCTGTGACCCAATGGCCCTCTTTAGGGCCACAAATACGAGTATCGCGGCATAAATATTTGAAACGAACGTGTTAATCAAATGGTGTATTTGCAAGTAAAACCCAGCTAGACCTGACGTATTCTATTAACTAAATTCTGTTAAAACGTAATGCGAGGAAAGTAGGTCGATCCAGGCAGTAACCGCCGACAAATAGAATTTCGAACGATAAAATAACGAAAAATCATGCGAAATTTCCATTCTTATAAATCTGGAGTGGTAGTAATTTGGTCGAAACCATCATGTTAACTGTGTTTTCATGACACCAGCTAACCAGCAGCTTCACACCATTTTCCCAGCGAAACCACGAATTAACCAATAGAAAATCTCGAAATGCTATCTTGCAAAGCAGAGTCATTGGAAGAGATCGAAACTCCAACCATTTTCATGCTTGTCCACAATCATTGCACTTTACCAAACTTGCTACTCGGTGTGTATCGTCTGCGCCCCAGAGAGGTTCCCATAGGTACCACGTCATCTCGCTGCCTTTCGCACTTTTGAACGTGTTAACCTAGGGCACTTCCGTTGAAATCTCAGGGGAAACGTGTCAAAAAGAGCGAAAGGCAGCGTCGCACCACGTACGCATGCTGGTTCACATGGGAACCTCTCTGGAGTGCAGACGGTAGGTTTTCATTCATTCATAATGGTTAGTTTTACTGAGCATCTACACACTAAACTTTTCAATATAGATTAAACGAATGAACTTGTTGCCGGTAGCTAAGAGCTTCTCATTCGAAAGCCTACCTTAACACTATGTCGTCGTAGTGGTGCGTTATTGAATTAGGTATTGAATTAGGATGCGTTGTTAGGAAGTATTGCTGGAGACATATTGCAGATGTCAGCGCGGATGCTGTGCCTCGTAGGCGCCACAGGAATATTGAATACGTTCGCAGTGATCGTGCGAGGTCTTTTCAAGTAACAGAGCGTTCATACGCTTTAGATTTCTCTTCACTGAAAGGGAGCTATCATGGCTCACGACGCTTTGTCATCGAAACTAGCGTGTGACACTAGCAGATCTTGGGCTATCTCAAAGAAACAGGAGTCTGCTATGGCCTCCACGATTGGCAACTTTTTGCTGCACTTCACAGAGAAAAGCTTTTAGGTGGCGATAGGTGTGAGATATCTTGCGACGAATTCGCACCAAATTGTTCTTGGTGACACTCTGAAGTGCTGCCGTAAAACAATTTCATATGTGGTGCACAGGGTGGTTATGGCGCTAAATCATCCAGAAAAGTGTCACATTTCATCGTTTGTAAGCCGTGGGATACTCTCTGGTGCAGGAATAGGGCTAGCGAATTCGCTAGGCTCGGAAAATTTAGCAGTGAGTGGAGTTCCAGTGACTTACAAGAGAAATATAAACTATTAGGATGTAAATGGCTGCATCGATGGAACTCTAGTGCCAATCGAGACTCCTCCCTGAGATGGCTACGTATACATGAGCAGGAAGGGATTCAGCGCCTTAAACGTCTGCGTAGTCGTAGATGCAATTGGCAGTATCCTCTACGTTAACTGTAGCTTAACAGGCTCTGTTGATGCGACTGTTTGGAGGCGATGCGCCCTTGGCCAACAGTTCAATTCTAGTGGGACATGCGCAAGCTATGCGCTTCTTGGAGATTCCGAGTACGCAAATGGACACGGGATCATGGGTCGTACCGCCCAACGCCAGCATCGTCGTGTACGCGCCGAGTGGAGAGAACTATAGGGAGATGGAAAATGCGCTTTACAATACTGTCCACCGGATGCGAGTCTCACCGGAATTCGCATCCAAGATCGTCATTGCTTGTGCAGTGCTGCACAACATGGGTTATTGTGTAAGGGCCACAAAGTGGCCACGTCTTGGGCATACTTTGGCTACCATGCCACATCCGCCAGCCAACATTCGGAACGTTCGTGGATATGTTTTGAGATTGCTTTGAGGAAAAACAACTTTATTTTGAAATGGTCAAACGATAAACACTGTGTATTGAATGTCTCTAATGAACATTCTTTCATTCAAAATTCCCTTCTTTCACAGTTGTTGTTTCTTTTTTGGAGTTTGCTTAAAAGGCTCAAAGTTTTGATGATTAAAACTCGGTGCACTTACTGAAAAACGAACCCTTTGGCTTAGTAAATTCTAGAATGCTCTCCAGACCCCTCTTTTGCAATTCGGCCAACTGAATAATTGCTTCGCACATCCTTGTTTGTTCCTGTGAATATTTTTTGATGACCAGTTGCAATCAGAGCCTACAACTTTACCTGAAGCATTGTTTGGAAATATTCCAGAGCTTTGTCGAGTTTCTCGTTTAGGGAGTTTTGGAAGCATTCAAAAATTTTGTCAGATTTCTCATTCACGCAGCTTTTAGACTCCCCCAACTCTTCGTCCGATACGTCCCGATCAACCAAAGCATCTATTTGCTAAATTCGTATCTTGAAGTAAATTAGAGTAGGCATTCAAGTCATTACACTGAAACTTTTCAAACTTGTGCAAGCGGAAAAATCATTACTTCGAGATCCACTAGCCATCTTTTCCTACTAAATACCAAACGATTATGAACTAAATCAAAATCGTACTAAGACAAATGAACCCCTTTTTTGACATCATTGTGTTGTTCTGAGTAGCCCACAATCGCCTCGTCTTCTTTCCCTTTCTCTTTTCCATGCCACTGCAATGCGATAGTTCAATTATGCCATATGTGCAGAATGCATACCTCATTCACTCTCAATGTGGGTTGAGCCAGAGTGCACGGCGTACGGGCGTACGTGACGTACGCAGCGTACGCTTGGTATATTTCATCATAGGAGCATACGCGGCGTACGCCGCGTACGCCGCGTACGCCGCGCAGTCTGGCTCGACCCTGTGCCTCTGTTCTTTGGTTGTAGTAGGTGTTCAATTCAAACTCTGTCTTCGAAACATTTTCTTCTGTAAAGATAAATTCTTCTTCAAGTTCTCTTCCTGCGCCTGTTTTTTTTGCGGTATCTGTCATGTGCTTGTTTTGGACAGGAAGTTAGAGTGTTTGAACTTACTTTTTCTCTCTATTTTTAAGCGATAAGGCCTTCCTTTTTTTATTAATGAAGTGTTGTTGCACCTGTTTGAGGGTCAGCGCGACGTCGAATTTTTCAAAAAGCTTTTTCAATTGTCTTCCAAACGTCTTTTCTGTGCTCGTTTGCGCTTAAGAAGCGCACTCTGACCCCAAAGAAGAATACTCTCATTTTTGAGCACCATGTTGACGATGAAATCCGAGGCCTTGCCTCTCAAAGGAGTTGTTCTCTTATCATGAACTACGCTGCGATCTGAATGGCACATTCAAATTAAGCATCCAATGACTTGCTCTTGGCACTTATTATATAATTAGTGACTATCAGCTAACTCAATTTTGTCCTCACGATAGATTGGAGACCTGCTAGGACGCAGTGACAGTTAAAGGCACCGTCCACCCTAGGTTGAGTGTCTTAAGCTTTTGGAGCATATGATAGTAAGGCCTCCTATCAAGCGA